GAGACCGTGTGCCCTAGGACCACGCGGCAGCCCCCCGAGCAGTGTGACTTCAAGGAGAACGGGGTGAGCTGGGGGCTGGGGCGCCCCGAGATGCCTGACAGGAGGCCTCGGGGCGCATTCCCAGGGACGGGGCGGCCGGGAGGGCCCAGCACCGGGTGGAGGTGTGACCTGCGCCCTTGCAGCTGGTGAAGGTGTGCGTGGGGACCGTCACCCTGGACCAGGACAACGGCTCCTATGACGTCGTCTGCGAGGAGGTGAGCGGCCCCTTCTCAGACCTGGGGGCGGCCGAGGGGGGCCCTCGAGCGTCCTGGGCCCCGGAGCCCCCTCCCCTCCCCCAGCCCCAGCCTGGATCTGAGTGCGGTCCCTGCCCAGGAGCCCGTTAGAAAGGCCCCCTCCCAGCCCCCCGACCAGCAGCCTCAGACTCTGGGTGGGGCCCAGCAGGGGGCAGGCAGCCACCTTCCAGAAGGTTCTTGCTGAGGCTGGGGAGCTGCTCACTGCGGTGAGGAGCTTTCATCTGCCCAGGAGCCCGTTAGAAAGGCCCCCTCCCAGCCCCCCGACCAGCAGCCTCAGACTCTGGGTGGGGCCCAGCAGGGGGCAGGCAGCCACCTTCCAGAAGGTTCTTGCTGAGGCTGGGGAGCTGCTCACTGCGGTGAGGAGCTTTCAGCCCGGCTCCGCCTCGGCCTGGCTGGATGGGCCTGGACCTGGGGAAGCCACTGGGCGTCTCTGGGCCTCAGTTTCCTCATCTGTTTAAGGGGTGGGGGCTCCACCACAGGCTCCCAAGGTCGCAGGCAGAGGGGGAGCCTGGGCCCATGGTGCCTCGCTGGCCCAGGAAGCGGGTGCAGGTGGGGGCTCCTGACCCTGGCCCAGCCCCACATGGAGCCGTTTCCTCACCGTGCACAGATCAAGGACGTCATATTGGGCGCTGAGAATCTAGGGGAACGCATCAAGAATGCTAAAAAGAAGGTTTGGGAGAAGATCAAGAGTTTTGGCAGGAGAATCAAGGAATTTTTCCGAAAACCCTCGCCCGAGGTGGAGCCCTGAGGTCTGTTTGGCCCTGGCCCCGGCCTCTGGGCTCTGACCAATAAAATCTGGGAAAGCCACCTGCTCAGGCGTCACTGTCACTTGCGTCGCCGTCTCTCGCTCTCCGCTGTGACGCCGTGCGGCTCTGTGTGTCTCTTTTCCTGAAAATCAGTAAATGGGGGGCGGGGTGGGGGGGGACCCCTGGGCGGTGGCTCAGGTGATTGGAGCATCGTCCTGGACCGAAAGGGTTCGGTTCTTCCGGGTCAGGCACCTCCTGCTCTCAGGCCCATCCCTGGTTGGGGAGCATTTGGGGGCAACAGGTCAATGTTCTCGCTCACATTGATCTCTCTCTCTCTCTCTCTCTCTCTCTCTCT